CCTGGGGTGGAAGCACCATGCAGTGAGGTTGGGACTAAAGCTGAAAAATCAGAATTTTCTAGAGTAAGGAATCTGAATTGTTCTAAAATTATAAAATTGGTCAGGCTTTGAGAGCTGCTTATTCTGAAAGAGCTGAGAGAAAGACAGACAAGGTCAAGGCACACGCAGTGCACTGGGGGAAGGCTGCTGTTCCTGTGGGGCAGCAGTGCCAGCTGCAGATGTGACTTCACTGGGAGGGAGGATTCAGGTGCCTTCGTGGTTCAGATGCCAGTTTATCACTCCTGTGTGCTCCACATCTCACGTTGCTGATTATTTTTTCATAAATTTGAAGTGTATCAGATACAGGCTGTACAGGCTGCCCCTCACGGGCTTTGGCAGCAGCAGGGATTTTGGGAGGACTGGATAGCTGGTGTTTCCCATCTGTGTAGCACATCTTCCATTTCAGGGAATGAAGGAGCAACTCCACAGATAGGTGAGGGTGCTTTGGGGTACCAGGACAGATGATGGGCAGTTTGTCAGCTCCCTCCTTCCCTGGGCTGAATCCAGGCACCTCAAGGACCAGGCTGCCAGCTGAGCCCTTCCTTTGCCAGTTTAAGCTTGTGCTGGGGCCTCACTGGAGGGACAGCTGTTCCTCAGGATACCCCTGATTCAGGGAGGACTGGTTTGCTGAGCTTGCTGCTCAGTGATCTGGTTTGTTTTGCCCTTAGCTTGTCTTGCTGCTCCTGGGTTCCCTTTCATCCAGTGCTGCCTTCCCAGCTGGATTGTCTCCTCTCTCAGCACGAGATCATCTGCTCCTCCCTAGTTCCCATTTCAGGGCATCTTCAACTGCAATTCTGCCAAGTCAGCTTGGAGTGCCTGTTGTCACTTGGAATGTCCTTGATTGCAAAGAAGAGAGTGACAAGAAGTCAGAAAAATAAGAGGGGGGCTGGAGAAGTGCTGCTGCTGAGGACAATTCCCTAAATGCTGTGTGTGCCCAGCCGGTCCCGAGCGCTGCCTCGTGTGCCTGCAGGGCCAGCACTGCCCTCATGTCTGTCCTCAGCAATGCTCTGCATCGAGCAGAGCTCCTTGCTGGGAGATGCTGTGGACCCAAGTGGTGGCCACCAGTCTGGCCATGCTCCTGGGTCCTGCTAACCAGGCTCAGGGTGAGGTGGAGACTCCAAGGAGCTGCTCCTGCCTTGGGTTGTGCCAGTCCTGGGCCAGCACCACTGTGCTGCACCTCCAGAGGTGTCTGGGAAGCGAGTCATGGATGTGGGTGGTGTTCAGGGACAATGGAGGTGGGCCTGAGGATGCTGTAGGTACCTCTTGGCAGAAGAAAGGGTTGTTCTGTGTCAGTGTGCCAGTGACAGTGGGAGACACCTTCAGCAAAGCCCGGGTGGATCCCAGTCCTGAGAGCTCAGTCCTGCAGAGATGCTGTGGGGCTTACTGGCATCATTCAACTTCTTCCTTGTCAGCACAGGGCTGACAATGAAACTGTTCTGTAGAGGGAAAACACTCTGAAGAGGGGTGTGCTTGATTAACTCTGTCCTGCCCTGCTGCCTCTCTGCCACTGACTGCAGCTCTTCTGTGTAAGGGGAAAGAAAAAGACTGTTTCTGCCTCAGTGAGCTTGTATCAAATTTGAGACAGGAGAAGGGTGTTTTGCTCCTCCAGATACACAGTCACCAAGGCAGTTCCTGCTCCTGTGTAGAGACTGCAGCTTTGGAAATGATTTGGAGGATGCCAAAGCCAAAACAAGAGTAAAACCTTCCCTAATGACCTGGGAGTCATTAGCACAGTCCTGTTGTCTCGATTTTTGCCCTATCAGCACACAAATGGTGCAGCTGGAGCAACGTTCTGTCCCTTGCCCTCTTGGTTTCTGCACTTGGAGATGGTCTTTTCAGGTATGTCCCCCCCTTTTCATGTTGCCTACTATGAAACCTCCTGATTGCTTCTGATTTTCTTCCACCAGGGAATTCTCTTGGTGTACGACATCACCAATCGCTGGTCCTTCGATGGGATAGACCGATGGATAAAGGAAATAGATGAGGTAAGGGAATGGAAGAACATATGCAGGGATCTATAGCAGAAATTTGGGGAGGTATCACCTGAGGTGTCACCTCTGATATGGGGACAGGAATGGCTCTGCTATGGAGGGGACACGATGGCAGTGCAGTACTGAGCAGAGCAAAGTGATAAGTGCCTGCTCTCCACCTCTGTGTAAATCTGGAATAGTAGGAAAGGGCTTGGGAATGGTCAAGAAAGGTAGGGAAGTTCCCTCTAAAATCACAGGATCACAGAATGTGCTGAGTTGGAAGGGACCTACAAGGGTCATCAAGTCCAACCCTGGCCCTGCACAAGAGTCACCCCCTGTGCCCCAGAGGATCATCCAAACCCTCCTGGAGCTCTGGCAGCCTTGGGGCTGTGCCCACTGCCCTGGGGAGCCTGGTCAGTGCCCAACCAGCCTCTGGGGAAAGAACCTTTTCCTGAGATCCAACCTGACCCTGCCCTGACACAGCTCCAGCCGTTCTCTGGGTGCTGTCCCTGGTCCCCCCAGAGCAGAGCTCAGTCCCTGCCCCTCCTCTACCTCTGCCCAGGCAGCTGGAACTGCACTGAGGTCTCCCCTCAGTCTCCTCTGCTCCAGCTGAACACACCAAGTGCCCTCAGTGTCCTCACACAGCTTCCCCTCCAGGCCCTTCACGAGAGCCATGATTTCTCCACTCCTTTCCCTGTTGCAGCACGCCCCGGGTGTCCCTCGGATCCTGGTGGGGAACAGGCTCCACCTGGCCTTCAAGCGGCAGGTGCCGACGGAGCAGGCGCGGGCCTACGCCGAGAAGAACTGCATGACCTTCTTCGAGGTGAGCCCCCTCTGCAACTTCAACGTCATCGAGTCCTTCACGGAGCTGTCCCGCATCGTCCTCATGCGGCACGGCATGGAGAAGATCTGGAGACCCAACCGAGGTGAGCAAGGAGGCTGCTCCTGTGGGGAAGGCTGGGCTCACGTGGAGGGATGGGGCTACCTGGAGGGGGGGGTGTTCCTGAGGAACTGTGGGAGCTGAATCCACCTGACAGGGAGAAGTGCCTTGGGCCAGACAAGCTGAAGCTGAGCCACAAGCTGCCTGGACTGGCGCAGGGCTGGGCAGCTCCACAGGGCAGTTCAGCATGTCTGGGATCTGCAGTGCTCTGGGGCATCCTCTACCTTCCCACTCACTCTGCAGGAGGCTCAGGGCAATTATCTCCCTGCTTGAAAGTACTTCAGTCAGACGGCTGTGTGGGACAAATCCAAGCATAAGCACCTCGGTCCGTGCCCTTGCCTGAGCCTGTCCCCCCGTTCCAGAGGGAAGCAGAGCAAGCCTAAGGAGCTGAAAGGGACTAAACCTCCTCCCTGCCTTCAGCAGGCAGCAGTGGGCTGGGGGATTCCATGTATCCAGGCACATGGGCTGCAGTGAGGCAAACCACAAGCAGACTTCATGTTATGTCTCAGCCTGTTGGCTTTGATGAAAAATAATCCCAGTTCCCACGTTATTCCTGGCTGGAAGTGTCCCACTGCAGTCTGAGCAGCAGGAGATCTGTGCTCCTGGGGTGACCTACCCTCCCATGGATCTTCAGCTCCTGCTCACCAGGGAGGGGGAATCCTGTTTGCCGTCCCCAGTCCCCAGATGTTCTGCCTGGGCTCCTGTCCCCGACTGTGGCACACTTGGCTGCCGTGCCACAGTCTCCAGGTCACCGAGGGATGGTGGGCAGGGAATGTGCTGCATTCACGGACCTTTCCTGAACCTCTTCCAGAGGTTTTGTAACTGTGGGCTGCCTGCTTGGGAACAGATAGGGCAAAAGGAAATGGCCTCAAGTTGTACCAGAGGAAGTTTAAATTGGATATTGGGAAAATGTCTTCCCTGAAAGGGTGGTGGTCAGGCCCTGGTACAGCTGCCCAGTGCAGGGTTGGGGTCACCGACCCTGGAGGTGCTCAAAAGAGGTGTAGATGTGGCACTTGGAAAGTGGGTTAGTGGTGACCTTGGCAGTGCTGGGGAACGGTTGGAGTGGATAGTCTTAGAGGGCTTTTCCAACCTGAATGATTCTGTGTTTCTATGAATGGGAATCTGCCTGCTCGGGAACAGCAGCGTGGCGCTGGCGGGCGGGAGGAGGATAACGCGTGCCCTCTTCTGGCCGCTGAATGGGAATTCCCCTCCAAGGAGAGGGACTTCCCAAGGCGGGCCCACATGGTGCAGGCTGAGCTAGGAGGCTGCTGGGAAACGGGGAAGAGCGGAGTGGTGTTCTGGCTTGGTGGGGTCTCTGTGCCTGGGGGGTTCTGCAGAGAGCTGCTGCTCCCTGAGGAGGTCCCAAGGGACACTGTCCTGTTTCAGGACTTACTGACCCTGTTGCCTCTTCCCTGGGCATGCCCTGGTTGCCAGAGGATGTGCTGAGAAGCCAAGTGTCTGTCAGGAATGTGAGCCAGGCCCTGCCACCCCGGGCACCGAGCAGGGGAGGGCTGGCAGTGCCTAACCCTGTGTTGACACCAAAGCTGGTGTCTGGCAAAGCAAAAACCTCCAACAGCAAAGCTCACCTTGATTGCCCAAGCTTTTTTCCTAACCAACCTGCTCCCTAATAAAAGCTCCTATGCAGTAATTCTTGGCATATCTCCCTGAGGAGCTGGAGCTGTGCAACATAAGAAAGGAATAGCTGTGGGATGAGGGCAGCCCAGGAAATCTCTTGGCCCTTGACTGTGTGGTCCTTTCTCCCGCAGTGTTCAGCTTGCAGGACCTGTGCTGCCGAGCCATTGTGTCCTGCACCCCAGTCCACCTCATCGACAAGCTGCCCTTGCCTGTCACCATCAAGAGCCACCTGAAGTCCTTCTCCATGGCCAACGGGATGAACGCGGTGATGATGCACGGCCGGTCGTATTCCCTGGCCAGCAGTGGGGGCGGGAGCAGCAGCAAAGGGAACAGCTTGAAGAGATCCAAATCCATCCGGCCGCCCCAGAGCCCCCCACAGAACTGCTCACGCAACAACTGCAAGATCTCTTAGCAGGATGGGCACCGGGAGCTTCTGTCGGATCCGCACCCACCCACCGATGTACAGCTGTTTGCACACCCAGCCCTTTCCCACTGGATCCTTTCGGAGGGGTTGCTTTTCCAATGGCACGCACGAGCGTTAGGAATGTGCTCACGTTTTGGCTTGGCATAGGAAGAAGCGTGGTGCCGGCTGGATCCCGCAGCGCTGCCGGAGAGAGGATCTGCCAAGTGACCCTCCAAGAATGCTTTGGGCTTTGCCTCTCGGCCTGGGGTGGAAAATTCAGCAGCTGCCGGGCTGGGGAGGGGGGAAGGGGAAAAAAAGCTCATCAAGTCTCAATGGAGCAATGGATTTAATGGAAGATTGAGAGGCTTAAGGGAGTAGGCAAGGAGAGCCCGTGCTGCAACTTTAACTCTTGGCCTCCTGAACAGATTGCTGGTGCAATAGTGATCCTTGGATGTAGACAATAAGAAACAGGGACAGGGGAATAATGACAGTTTTCACCGGGATGTTCACCTGCTGTTGCCAAAAAAAACCAGAAAACAAGGCAAGAGTTGGCCAATTGGAAAGGGGAAGGCAGCGCTCGCTGCCTTCGCTTATTTATGTAAATATTATACATATATATATATCACTTGTTTTTTAAGGGTTTTTTTAAGAAGCTGTCAGGGAAAATTTTATGCAGCCATGTAAATACAAGCACTGGATGGACTTTCCCAGTGTCAGCAAAGGGGAGAAGTGGAGGATTTTCTGATGAAAACACATAAATGCTTTAAGAGACTTTCCCTCACCCCTGGGCTCGTGGTGGCGTTTTTAAATACTATGTGTGCAGAAGGAAAGGACAATTCATGTGGAACTTGTCCCAAGCTGCTTTATTCCAATCACTCCCTAAAACTTGTGAGTGCTGATGCAGGGTGGGATGGGAGTGGATAGAGGGGCAGAGTGGAGAGGCCAGGGTCCTGGGGGCTGGGGTTTTTTGGCAGGCAGGAGGAAGAGGCAGCTCTGGGGTTAGACCGATGCCTTGCTCGCTTTGAGCCTTCTGGTTGGGGATTTGGGAGCAGGGGGTGGAAGCATTGTACCTAAAGCAGGGAAAAATGCTGAATTTTGTCCCTTATTGCTGCAAAACTTTGGCTGTTGCTTCCAGTGCCCTCCATCCAGGACACTACCCCATGTGACAGCCCCTGGATTCTGGCTGCTTCCAACTTTGCTTTCCCAAAGATGCTGCCTGAGGTTGCACTGCTGTGGCTCCTCCTGGATGAAAGTGGGAAAGGGCAGAAGTGGCCTTTCCCACTGGAGCGTGAAGGAGCAGGGACTAGGAAGGTGAGAGGTTGGGGTGGGGAAACAGCAATCCCCAGGTCCCTTAGTGGCAAAGTCACTCAGTTCTTGGGGTAGTCCCAGAAGATCAGGAGAGCAAACTGCTTTGCTCCATAGGACAGCTCCTGGATTTTGAAGGGACAAGAGCTTGGGATGGATCTTCTGTCAAGCGAGTGCACCTGCTTTCCTGGCTTCATCCCACGGCTGATCTGTGCTGGGAATTCACCTGGAAGCTGAGAAATAATGCCCAGCCCTTACCCCAGAAGCTCAGGGGGTTGGCAGTGGGGCTGAGCCGTGGCAGCAGATTCTCGTGGGTGGCCGGGGTGTGTGGACTGTGAGTACCACGGTAGGAAGTGAAGTGTACAGTGCTGCCATCCTGCCCCTGGGATCAGCAGCTCCTCAAGGCCTGGGCTGGCTCCGCTCCCCCTCCCCAAGCCGCTCCTTGCACTGTGTGGGCAGGATGAAGCCGCAGCAGCTCCTGTGCGGCCGACAGACCCGCCAGACCCGCCGTGTCCGGGCTGGACACGTCCCCCCGCGGGGACATTGCCTTCCCCCACTCCTGAGCCCACCTGGGAGGTGCTGGAGCCTTCCCCCTCCCCTCTGCAGAACACAACAGGGGCAGGTCTCTTGGCTCAGCTTTATCTCTGCTTTATCACCCAGCTCAAGTGAGCGGGGAGAGAATTAAACCCCAGGCAGGCGGAGGGGGAGAAGAATCCTTTGTAGTGGTGCTTTGGCTCGAGAGCAAAGCCGGGGCCGGGCCCGGCGCGGTGGCACAAGGCCGGGGGATTTGGAGAACCTGTCTGGGCTGGCTGGCACCTGTTTCCCATCACTTAACACACAGCAGAAGACAATCGCTGGCTCAGCAGCCCGGGGATATACGGCCAACAGGTGACGGGCACCAAAACTGACGGCTTCTCCCGGGAAACACCGCCCGGGCACTGCAGGGCCCCGGCTGCTCCTGGCACCGGTGTGTGGGGCAAAGAGGGATGGAGGGCTCCTTCCTGACACCACCAAGCTGCTGCATGTCTCAAAACTGGCTGTACCTCTGCTTTGGTTTGGCTGTGCCACGTGTGCCACCTCCCCACACCGTTTCCCTGTGGTTGGTTTGGGTTTTGCCACCCTGTAAAGTCTCACGGATCCTGTCTGGAGTGAGGATGGATGATTTCCCTGGAGTGATTGCCCAGCAACAAACTTTTTTTATTTTTTAATTTAAAAGGAAAAGATGCTTGCATCTGATGTCAACACTAGTCTGTAGCTGCTCTCCAACACTTGTACCATTCCTGAGTTGGTTTTTTTGGACTATCCTTTTATTTTTTTATTCCTTTGTACAGTCAGTGTTGTTCAACTGATTCTACATGGTTTTGTTTTGTATAAATTAAAGTCTTTTTGTTTGTTTTGATCTACCAATTGAAAGGTGGAGAAGTTGTATCTAGTTTTGTGTGGGCTGGGAAGAGGTTGAAGGGAAAAGGTGGCAGTTTGCCCGTACCTGGGGATTTGGGGCTGCTTCTAGTGCAGGGGTGTATTGCCACTTCCAGGTCATCCACAAAATAACTCAAATTACATTTTCTGGGGAGTCTTCACAATCATGATTCCTGGCTGTGGTGGCTTTTTCCCTTTTCTGTACATGCAGAGGCTAAATCTGTTCTTGATTCTCACAGATCTGGGATAGTGAGCTCTAAGAAAACACAGAATCATTTCCAACACAGTTGGTCCCGTAGGTGGCTGGAGAAAACCAGGCTCTCCAGCAGCTTGCCAGAAACTGTGCTCATCCCTGCTCCACAGGGACAGGTTTGCAAGTAGTCAAAGCCTTAAATCCCTTCTTTGGGTCCAGGTGATCCTGGGGGAGCCATCACCCATCCTGCCCAGACTGGAGCAAGCTGGAGGCCATCCTGGGATAAATGTGACTGAAACGGAGAGGATGCAGCACCAGTGTCACATCAGGGTGGCCCTCGGAGGCACTGGGAGCCCCAAAGAAAGGGGATTTGCTCCTGGGGTTGAGGGAGACTTCTTGTCTGATCCTTTTTTCCCAGCCCACCTCCCCTTGACCTCCCTTTTCTCCTGCCTTCTCACTTCCCTAGGATCAGATTTTCCACTTCGTACCAGACTGGCCACGCTTGTTTTAACGGCTTAAGTAGTAATTGCCGGGGCTGGGAGGGGGCAGGGGGAAATGAGATCGTGTCTGCGGCCTGGAAAACCCTGGAGCTAAGGTGAAAGCCTGGTCAGGGAAGAGCCTTTTTTTTCCCCCTTTTTTCAGGGGGTTCTGGAAGTGTCTGTTGCCTCTTGCAGGGCTGAAACAAAGGCTGTGTGTGGTTTCAGGTGGGGCAGGGACAGCCGGAGCCCATTACGCCGGAGCAGCGGGGGCTGCCTGGGCCACAGCTGTCTGCCTGGGAAGGGCAGGGCAGGAAAACACTGCACAGCCTCAACGTGGTGGGAAGGCTGGGAGAGCTTCAGGGCTCCGTGGAGAAGGAGGAGGGAGCAGGTTCCTCTTGGGGTGATTCAGGTCTTTCCTCACTGAGCGTGTTTCTCCACAAACACCTTCCCCATTTGAGGTGTCTTGGGTTGGTCCCACTGTCCCTCCCAGGCTGGGAAGAGGTGGTGACCTCCATCTGACTGCAAAATGCTTGAAAATGTGGGTGTGTGTCCCCACGGGTGTGTTAGAGGGGCAGGAGTCCCCTGGGTGCAGGCGTCATTGGAGGGGGACACATGGCACTGCACCCTTCCTCCGGGACACAGTGCTGAGCTGCTCTCTGGTCTTGAAGAGAGAAGATGAACCATAACCTGGGATGAGCTCAGTTGGTTAAAACTTGGTCCTAATAATGTCAAAGTCATGGGTTCAATCTCTGTAATGGGTCATTCACTTAAGGGTTGGACTTGATGATCCTTGTGGGTCACTTCCAACTCATAATATTCTGTGATAAAACTCACATCTGTGTCTGGGATCTTTGACAGGGACACCAAAAATCCTGGTTTTGGGTGCCATGGGTGCTTGGACATTTGGAAGTGAACAGTTTAGGGGAGACTGAAGTTACAGCTGCTTCAAGCCTTGAGATGGTGAAAGTATCGTGGGCTTGGTCAGGTTTGGGAGAGTCACTTTGTCCTTCATCTTCAGCTGAAGAATCACTAGAAGAGGCTGGGTGGGTGTGAGGGTCCCAAGCTGGGTGGGGGTCCCCAGGGGTGGGTGAGGCTCTCAAGTAACTGGGAGCTGCATTTCCAACCACGCAGCACTGGCATCTCTCTGTCCAGTGCTGCACCACTGGGGTGAAGGTTCCCTGCCACTGCTTGTCCGGCCTCACGGCCTTTGGTCTCGGTGACACAGGGATTAGATGTCTTGGGCTCTGGTGTGAAACACGTGCCACCCTCAGGGCTGCTCCTCTGGCTCTGGAGAGGGGCCGTGGGGCAGGAGCTGACCCAGACCCCGGCACCATCATCGTGCTGTGACCACACAGAGCCCAGCCTGTGGGTGGGTGAAAGCTGGGCTCAGCTTTGCTGTTCCCTCCTGCACCAGCACCCTCGGGGGGACTCTGGGGCACCCCAAAGTGGCTCTGTAGCCCTGGGCTGCATCACCAGGGAGCAAGGGGCCCTGCAGCTGCCACACTGCTTCCCAGCTGGAGCAAGGTGGGTTTGTGGGTCAGGGATCTCCAGGCCTGGGGGCTGGGGTGGGTTGGGTGGGTCTGGGGGTCTCCGGGCTACCAGGGTATGCAGGGTATAGCCCCCAGCAGCTCCTAGCTGGGCTATCCTGATGCGATTCTCTGTTTGCTAAACATCAGCCTTCCTGAAAGTGTCCCGGGGCAGCAGAACCTCCCCTTGGCAACCATGGCTGGAGGGACCCTTGGGTGGCTGCTGGGCTGTGAAACTGGGGATCCCAGGCACAGCTATGGGACACACTCCAGCCCTCCAGGTGTGGTTGTGGCCAGCTGGTGACAGACCTGACTGTGTTTTGGGGGGTTTTGGGCCCCAGGGAGCCCCAGCATTGCCCTGGGCAGCCGAGAGCCCCCGGCAGCACAGCCGATGATGAGCCCGGGCAGGGAGGTGGCAGCGCTGGCAGGGCACTGCAGCTACACCCTGCTCACACCAGCGTGGGGGTGTCAAGGGCCCCCCCAAATTGTCTGGTCTGGGGCAAAAGGGGTTCCCCGAGGAGCTGCACACCGGGGGGAGCACCAAACCATTACATGCAAAAGCCCCTCAGGGGTGTGGGTGGGTTGGATTCCCCGCCAAAACAAAAACTGAACAAGAAAGGGCTCCCCTCCTTTTTTATGTCCCCTCCACCACCTGCCCCCCAAGAGGAGAGGCTGGAGGTGTTGAGCTGCTCCCCCGGGGCAACATCCCCTCGGGTTTGCTGTTTCGTAGGGGCTGCAGACCCCCCTCGGCTCTGAGGCTCTCGCCAGAGCCGGAAGAGTTAATGCTCCCAAAATGCCATGAAATGTTCCTGCTGCAGGTCAGTCTCCAGCGGGGATTAGGGGGATCTGGCCGGGGAGCCGAGGCCGGCTCCTGGCAGCTCAGGGCCGGTGCGGGACGTGCTGGTTGAGCTCAGGCGCAGTCTGCCGGGTCTGGTCTGGCTCAGAGGACAGCCTGGCTGT